AACCATGTACCTAAATGAAGGACCTGAAAAACTTGAAACAAAATCAGCAGAGACCTTGTGAGTCAATTAAACCTCCCAAATTCAGCCGTTCAAGAGCAGTAGGTGGCTACAGGGCCCAAGCCCACTGCCTCAAGTGTGACTTGGAATTCGGTAAAAGCTTCTCACAGAAGAGAAAGATGCTTTTTGAAGGAAATTTCAGACCTCATACTTCTAGAAACACCGAATTCCAAGTTAAGTACTTGAGGGGAATGGCAAGCAAAATACTCGTCTTACTGTTCAATTATTAACTCTCCTTTTTTAAGATGTTGTTTTTGTTTTTACGATGAGCCCTTGCAATAAATGTGTGTACATTACATGCAAATACGATGTGACCCCAGTGTGGTGAAGAGCTCCTATAAGAAGGAGGGAAAGTAAGAAGCTGGGGTCAGCGACCGAAAGAATCTGTAGGCCTTGTACTTTTTTTCTAGAGATCACTGAATACAGAACCAAACGTTTTGAAAAGTTAGGCAGGGCTGTCCTTTGCCCTTGGGAAATTCTGTATGTAAATCATCCAAGCCGATTCTGCAGAACCTTTAAGGGGATAAGATTTCCTTTACCACACTACAGACCTAGAGTGAGAATTTCTCAAGTTGGGGACACTACAAACGGTAAAATATATGAAGATTTCCGTGAAATCATCACCAGGAAACACAAGATATAAGCTTAATTCAAATTTAGTAGTCCTGACACTGAGCAAACGCCTCTGTAGTATTTATTCAACAAGTCATAAATTCTAATACGTGCTCATGACATTCTTGAGAGACATAAAAATTAAGGCTTATCAACAGAGTGAGTGAATACATATGAATAATTTCTTTTAAGAAAAGTAGGCAATGTATGAGAAAATAATCTTCAAGGCTAAATCTTAATTGAAAAAACATGTTGGTTAAAACATGGTTAAAAACCGAAGGCTACTAAATTTCTGATAAATTTCCTTTCAAAATAGCCTGTCAAATAATAGGCAAAGATTTTCAACAACGTGGCTGACCAATAATCTTGCTAACATTTAAAATAAAACCCTCTAAAATCACTCTTAATTCCCTTCTACAGACTTTTAAGAAAGTGTCTAGCTCTGAAAAAAATCAAATAATGGAATAAGAAGTGAGGGAAGGACTGAAAAGAAAAGCTAATTAGGTTTGTTCATCCCTGACTTAACTAGTCAATTGTTTTAAATAAAGCAATACTTTGTAAAGAAGACATGGGCTTCCCTGGTGGTGACATGGGCTTCCCTGGTGGCACAGTGGTTAAGAATCCACCTGCCAATGCAGGGAACACGGGTTTGAGCCCTGGTCCGGGAAGATCCCACATGCTGTGTAGAAACTAAGCCCATGCACCACAACTACTGAGCCTGCACTCTAGAGCCCATGAGCCACAACTACTGAGCCCATGTGCCACAACTACTGAAGCCCATGCGCCTAGAGCCCATGCTCCACAACAAGAGAAGCTACCACAGTGAGAAGCCCGTGCACCGCAACAAAGAGTAGCCCCAGCTCGCTGCAACTAGAGAAAGCCCGTGCGCAGCAATGAAGACCCAATGCAGCCAAAAGTGAATAAATAAAATAAATTTTTTTAAAAAAGAAGACATAGGTCATGCTTCTTAAGTAATTACTTAAACTCCTAGAGCACTAATCATTTTATCATTTTATGACCTAAGAAGGGTACTCTGTTTTTTAGTTTCACATTTGGAATCAGGACTAGCCCACAGAGAAAATTATTCAGAAAATAATAAAGAAGAAATCGATCAAAATGACCTAAACAAAAAACAAACAGAAAAAAAGACCTAAACAATCAACAGAAGAAACAATGAGTTCATTTCTGGCTTTTGAACTTGCCCCAGTAATAACCTTCTATTTTCCAGTGCCATTTAATTTGTAAAGCACTTCCTTTTGCTCGTGTTGGCTTATGAAGTAGACAGAGCATGTGCTGTCTGCATTTAACAGACAAGGAAATGCGAGACCGGAGAGGTTACACGGCTTCCCCTAGGACTGAGTCAGCAAACTCCAGACCATGGACTAAATCCGCTCTTGGCCTTTTTTTGTTTGGCCCGTGAGTTAAGAATAATTTTCACATTTTGCAAACAGAGTTTATAAGCAAGCGTCACTCATTCATTTACGCGTTACCCATGCCTGGTTTTGTACAACAGCAGAGCTGAGTAACTGCAACAGAGACTGTATAGCCCTCAAAGCCGAAAATATTTCCTCTCTGGCCCTTTATAGAAAAAGTTTGCTGACTCCTGCCTGAGACCCACAGGTGAGCCATGAGCAGAGCCCAGATTTGGGGGAACCAATCCAGTGATCTTTCTACTCAACCTTTTGCCTCTCCTTAAGCCATGTCACTATGTGGTTCATCCCTGGCATATGTTTGAGGGATAAGAGGAAGTTTATGAAGCATGAATGAACGTACTTGAAGTAGAAAGAAGGAATTGAGAATGGAGCCAGAGACAGCAAATGAGGAGGAGACAGAGGTACTACTGACTCATTTCCTACTTTCACAGGTATGTGAAAGGAGAGGAATTCTGCTCATGGATGGACCATATCCAGAGTCTCACCCATTCTACATCATTTAGAGTATTTAAATGATGAGATTGGGGACCGTTTGAGTTGATATTTAGATCAGATTTGAGGCTTGGAGTTGATGCTGTTTTTAGGGTTAAATCTTTGGGGGATATTAGAATGGGGTGAATGTATTTTGCTTATAGGCTGGACATTCTTTGGGGGATTGGGGCAGAGAGCAGACTGTACTGGGTTGAATAGTGTTGCTTTGAAATTCATGAAAACTCCAAATCTCAGAAAGTAACTTTATTGGGAAATAGGGTCTTTGTAGATATAATCAAGCTATGATGAGGTCATACTGGATTAGGATGGGCTCTAACCCAATGACTGCTGTCCTCATGGGAAGAGGGAGGTTTGCACACCATGTGAGCACAGAGATACAGAGGGGAGAGCTCTGTGGGAAGACAGAGTCAGGGACTGCATGCAAGCATCTACAAGCCAAAGGACACCAAGGATTGCCAGCAACCATCAGAAACCAGGAGAGCAGCATGGAACAGAGCCTCCCTCAGAGCCTCCAGGTGGAACCAAGCCCCTTGATTTCAGACTTCCAGGCTTCAGAACTGTGAAGGAAGAAATCTCTGTTTTAAGCCACCAGTTTGAAGTGCTTTGTTACGGCAGCTGGGGGAAACTAATGCAGATTAGTGGGCAAGGGGACATGGCCTTGTGTGAAAGAATTCAGATCAAGAGAGCACAAGAAAGTGGTGCAATGTCAAACCCCATAAAACCTTTTTGTTTGAAATATAAACTCAGAGTTCTTCTAGAAGACCTTGAGGGAAAACCAAACAAAAACCCAGGGGCCTTGATTACTAAATCTGATCAGGTTTTTACAAACACATGTTGCCAAGATAAGCAGAACTGACTTATACTTGAGCCTTTTCTTCCCAATAGGCCTGTTTACAAATCTATCCCTAAATTCCAGTTAGTCACCCCACTATGACTGGGGAAACAAATGCCTTTTACAAAGGAGGAAAGTAGATTAACTAAAATTACCGCAAGGACGTTCCTGATATACCTCTTCTCTGAAATAATCCTAAATTTCCACAGATGACCTAATTTTTAAAATACTTTGTAAAGGGTGATTTCTTTCTTTAACTGCATGCATTCAAAAAGATATAATGTATATACTCAAAACCAATGTGTAAAGGAATCAGAGTCACTTGTAGAATCACCCAGTGGCTCAGGACGCACCTCTCATATTACTTGGCATCAGATATACTAAAGACTAATTCCCACCACTAACACCCTCCCCCCACCACCTGTCACACATGCACACACACATTTTTCAGCATAACACTGTTGAAGGTTGAAGCTGTGGGCAAGCTATATTCCTTCATTTCCTCAAGACTGCAAGGAAATGGTGCTAAAGACACAAGGTTGCAGTCACACTGTAAAGGTACGTCTAAAATTTGGTGCACGTTGAGTTTTCCTATGTAATCCAGTCACTGAGTAATAAAAAAATAATTAGATTGATTGCTCTGAAACTCTTTGTATAATGTACATGAACACAGATGCCACAAGTTCATGATAAAGTTGTCCCTGAGGTCCATACTCAAACCACTATTCTGGCATTTGAGCAGCTAAATTCTTTTCAGTTGAGCCACAAGAGAATCAGACAGAATTTTTCTCTTTATCATCATGTCATGATGTAACTTGGTATCAATTATTTTGAAGAAACTATCAGTTAGATTCTTAATGAACTTATACATAGTATTTTCCTATGGAGTTACATTCCAATACACCATAGAAAATATTATTTGTCTCCGCCTCCCACCCTCCTGCCTCATTATTTTCCTATAGTCTTAAACAGATATGTATTTTAAATCACCCATGGTGACAGGAAAGCAAATGGCAACTTCATACCATTATTTTATGAGAGCCCTCTGCTAGTTGAGACACAGCACTACCCTTCATAAATCATCACTTAGCTCCTAAGAAGGGCTATAGCTCCCAAAACAAACAAAGCCCGCTGACTTCTTTGAGTAGTCTGCAGGGCATTTTCCTGAGGCTGGGAATTCTTAAAAAGTTGGCCATTGTAAACCCAAGATCTCCACTGCTCCAAAGAAGAAATTAACCAGGTATCTGAGCTGAAAGAGGAGATGTATATGTATGTCTTCCTTTTCTCAGCATCTGAAAAAAGTCACCAGAATGACTACCCGCATTTCTGAATTGCTGCGCACTAGGCAGCACCACACTACCACTATGCTAGAGCTTCTGCAGAAATAAGACTGCAGCGCTGTTCCTAAATTCATCGCACTCCTCTGGAGTATCTCTACCCCGGAATCTGAGTTCAAGAGCTTCTTTTGGCCTCTGATGGAAGCGCGCAGTAAATCTTTTAGTTCAGATACATATGCTAACCAGAGGAGGATAGCATGCATTCACAAATGGGTCCAACACTCTTAAGCATGTTACCTTATTCTGTTCACACACGTACTGTATCCTCAGGGTATCCATGGCTCTGATCATGGCTTGCATGGCGGTGAATATGTTTTGATAAACTAGCTTCGTGAACCCCTTTCTGTCTTCGTCGCTGTAACCAGACCCATGGATGATTCTCATTTGCTTGATAAAGGTGCTTTTGCCACTTTCTCCAGTTCCTAATAAGACAAAACATGTGAAAAACGCAGTCAGCAGTCTTTAAAAGGAACAGGGTGAGAAAGAAAGTACCTCCTGGCAGCGTTGGCCAATATGAGGATTAGTAAATTGATGGCGGTGGATTTGGAAAGGGCCTGCCGAATGCTTATGCAAGTTGAGGCTGCAGTTAGTGCCATCCTAAACCCCTGGGCAGAGGGGTCCCCACCCTGGACCCTGTGCTTTAGAAGTCCACAAATATCTCTCACACACACACACACACACACACACAATTTATTAAGGGCACATGAGTGCCCATGTCACTTGGAGTAATCCTAAACATCAGCTCTTGTGACTAACACTGTTTAGGCCCCAGGGAACTGCTCCCCGACATCCCTTGCCCTATGACCTCGAAACAGTTGGCATCCGTGTCTGAAAGCCCCAAACATTCGAGGGTTTCCCCACTGCTAATACCAGCCACGGCAGCAATGGGGGCTGCTTCAGAGAGCTGGGAAGGTTTGAGCAGCAGAAACACCTGGATGTGAGAAAAGGCTAATTAACTTGTCAATTTCTTTCTTTCAAATACATGAATACAATGGATCCTAGCACAATGAAGCACCATCCCTAGCTGTACCAAATGTCTATATTCTTCCCCTTCCTCATATTCCAATTTGTAGTTCAGGAGGTCCTCCAAACTCACAACACTTGCACATGGCAGCCAAGGAACATTTTACAACATCAAACCATTCCTACTGCTCTTAAATTTGCACAGATGTCCAGATAATATGTGTGAAACATGATGCCAGGGCTTTACATTAATATTAGACTGAGATATTGTTTGAATAGACAGGAAAAGGTGCAGCGTAAGTGACAGACATTTGTGTGATGGAATTAAAATATTTTATTTCTAATATTTTTTGTGATAAAGATAATTTATCTAAGAGATCCCATTACCATGTTTGGAACATAATATACTGTATTTATGGTTCATTTTCAAATCCAAGTATTGCTTTAAAGAAGCTTTTTTAACAATTCAGGTTGATATGATCTCAGTAGGGCAAAGTTTCTTCAAATTGGAATTAATGAAAATGATCTCAGAACTAAAATGACTCAATAAAAGTTGGATTCTTCAAATGGGTGAACTGCATATATACGAATATATATACAATATATATTCAATATACCTGTTACAAAAAAGTCATCTAACAGCATTTCCATTAAAACACGAATTGTATGAAAATCTTAATTAAAATAATATAATTTGTGATTTTACTATAAAGGCAAAAAATTATGAAATAGGAAATGATGGATTAATTATAAAATATTTTATTACATATCCACATCTCATTGACCCAACAGAATACCCGGACAGTGCAGTTATAATTAAATTCAATCATCTTTGATACTTTGTTGGCTCTTAGTCATATTAAAAACCATAGTTGTACACACCTTTTTTGACATTTTAGTTATAAAGAGATGTGATAGAACATATTAAAAATGGTTTGTTGGCTTGATTATTGCCTGTAACCATTTAGACTTATGGGATGTGGGTCTCCGTCTGTACTCTTGCCGGGGGCCCTGTGAACATCAGGCCCCGGAGAAACATCTAGAGGACTCGAACAATTTTTCCAGGTGAATAATTGAGACAACCTTAGCATTTGATAAGATCTTTCCTTGTAAGAAAAAAAAAAAAATGTTCCTTCAGGTTCATCTTTTCAAAACACAAACCTGCTTTTCTATGTGTCTTCCCATCCTCAGCTCAAAACCCTCAATGGCCTCCCCTCAGCTCAGGAAGAAAGAAAACTCTACTGTGGCCAACAAGGCCGTGTGGTCTGGCCCCTCCGTCTTCGCCAGCCTCTTCTCACAACGCGCTTTCCTCCTCCCTCTGCACTCCAGCCACAATGGCCTCCTTGTTGTAGCCTTGGCTCATGCTTTGCACGGTCCTGGGATGGTCTCCCTTCACCCCTCTCACTGCTGCTTTTCACCTGGACTGGTCTGCCTGATGAGGTCGAGTCCCCATACTCTAGGTTCTCAGGGTACCATAAACTTCTGGTTGGAGCACCTGTTCCAGCTGCACTTTTGCCCATTAATGTCATTCTTCCTTGGACATATGCCTCCCTTACCAGCCTGTAAGTTTCGTAAGGGGAGACAGGGGCCATATTTGTTTTTATTCACACTGCCTCCCCTTGGGCCAGGTATAATGCCTTACACTTGGCACAAGCTTATTAAGCTTTTATAAAACTGTGATAAAATACACACAGCAAAATTTACCATCTTCATTATTTGTAGGTATACAGTTCAGAAGTGTTAAGTGTATTCACATTGTTGTGCAAACTCCAGAACCCTTTTCATCCTGCAGAATTGAAACTCCACACCCATTAAACAACTCCCCAGTCCTCCCTCCCCCCAGCCACCTTTCTACTTTCTGTATCTAAGAATCTGACCACTCTGGGTACCTGATATAAGGGGAATCACACAGCATTTGTCTTTTTGTGACTGGCTTATACCACTTAGCATAATACCCTCAAGGTTCATTCATGTTGTAGCCTGGGACAGCATTTCCTTCCTTTTTTTTTTTTTTTAAAGACCCTGATTATTTATTTATTTATTTATTTATTTTAATTAATTTATTTTTGTCTGCATTGGGTCTTTGCTGCACGCTGGCTTTCTCTAGTTGCAGTGAGCGGGGGCTACTCTTCATTACGATGCACGGGCTTCTCACTGCAGTGGCTTCTCTTGTTCTGGAGCACAGGCTCTAGGCGCGCAGGCTTCAGTAGTTGTGGCTCACGGGCTTAGTTTCTCCACAGCATGTGGGATCTTCCCGAACCAGGGATCAAACCTGTGTCCCCTGCATTGGCAGGCGGATTCTTAACCACTGCGCCACCAGGGAAGCCCTCCTTCCTTTTTTTTTTTTTTTTTTAACATCTTTATTGGAGTATAATTGCTTTACAATGGTGTGTTCGTTTCTGCTTTATAACAAAGTGAATCAGTTACACATATTCATATGTTCCCATATCTCTTCCCTCTTGCGTCTCCCTCCCTTCCACCCTCCCTATCCCACCCCTCTAGGTGGTCACAAAGCAACGAGCTGATCTCCCTGTGCTATGCGGCTGCTTCCCACTAGCTATCTATTTTACGGTTGGTAGTGTATATATGTCAATGCCACTCTCTCACTTTGTCACAACTTCCCCTTCCCCCTCCCCATATCCTCAAGTCCATTCTCTAGTAGGTCTGTGTCTTTATTCCCGTCTTACCCCTAGGTCCATCATCGGATGAATGGATAAAGAAGATGTGGCACATATATACAATGGAATATTCCTCCTTCCTTTTAAAATCTTGAATAATATTATTGAATTGAAAGTATTTTTTGAATACATGATAGTGATAAGGAACTCATCCAATCTCAGCTGCCTTCACTATCCACAAATAGGAAGAGAGGTGGCTCATCCTCTCTCAACCACCCAGTGTGCTATGTGGGTAGCAGTGACCTTAACCATGGCAGGAACCACCATGAAAATGGCCAAGCAGGAGCCTTATCCTGATTCTCTGTGACCCTTTCCTGGTTACTCCCCAGTCCTGGGAGTGTTAGAGAGTCACACTGTGCCTGGTACTCTACACACATTATTTCCTTTGATCCTCACAACCAACCCACGAGGTATGAACTATTACCGTCATCTTTATCATACAGATGAGAAACCTGGGGCTCATACTGTTCAGTGATCTCTGCAAGTGCACACTGTCAGCAAGAGAAAGAGGGGATTTACTCAATCAGACTCTAATGCAGACTCTACTATCAGAGAAGAACATTGGGATCATGACCAAATGGACTTAGTCACACTGATCTAATGAGGACAGATGGGAAGTTCACAGCCGCACACTGAACCCTAAGCCCAGGCACACCCACCATCTTGCAGGCGCACACTGTTGGGGCATGAAGAGGAACCTCCCGACAGGTGAGTGTCCTCACAACCTCACAAGCCTCCCTGTTGCCTTACTTCTACCTCCAGAGATGGGAAAGGTGGGTGCCGTCTTCCCAGGTCAGAGATGAGGAAACTGTGAGTCAGCAAACAGGGCAAAGCTGATGCAAATTCAGAGCTGCGGCTAGCAACCGGGCTGCTAAAGCCTTAGCCTTCAAGGTTCAACACAAATAACACCCCCCTAAAGGAATTTTCTTCCCCTTCATCCCCCCAACAGTTAGGCTTGCCTCCTTTAAGCTCTCAAAGTGCCTGTGGACACCCCAGTGGGGCCCATCCCCTAACTGCTTGTTTGCAGATATGTCTCTTGCTACACCCTAAGTCCAGGAAGGGTAAGGCTTGGGAGTCACGCATTTGGGTACCACGAACACTGTGCCTGCCATATAGTGAGCTCTCAAAAAATAACTAAATGGAGGAATGAATAGAACAAACATGAGAAGTCAGTTTTCCCCCATTGGTCTGATATCACAGACAACTGCAGAAACGTGAGATATGAACTGTTGAAAGATGATTGTGATGAGACCAGTTTCATGATGACTCTTGGCTGCCAAGACCTCGTGTGTTAACTGAGGACGTGTGGGAAGATCCTATACGGTCAGAGCTTGGTCTAGAATCCTGAATCAGATTACATCTCTGCTCTTGCAGAATCCTGGGGTTCCCTGCATCTCTTCTATGATGCTGCCACGCTTGCTTCTATTCCACCCCAGCAAGGTTGACCTTGGGTACAGTGCTACCTTATCCTAAGTGAAGGTTAATACTTCCACATTCTACATACCACAAAGCTAAGGTGAACGGAGAGATTATGTAATTATCACGAAGCACCTGGGATTTGGGCCCTGTTAAGCCAGAAAAATCATCAAGACTCACCCCAAAGTTCTATACCCAAGGCAGAGAATCTTTTGCATTATAAAGACCATTCACTTACAAAAGGTTAAAGCCAACCCCACCAGCAGCCCCAAACACAGAAACATGTTTAAAAAGTCATTGATTTTGCTTTTGGACATGGAAGATTTTGAAAAGAAAAGCTTAGAAATGATTTTAACGATTAATAA